CATGCAATTGATATTTTAAAAAATTGACAAGAATGCAAAATTTATATGAAAAGTCTAGCAATTGAAAATTCTTAATTTTCTTGTGTGAGCACTGAAAATAACTGTAGAAGGAAAGAAGAAAATTAGGGAGAAAAGTAAGCAAAAATTTGCAGGGAAAATTTGGCTGTCAGACATACCAAGATGTTTCAAAAAGTTGGACGCTTTTGAATATACTTTCAGGATACTTCAAAGAATTTAGGCGTTCAAAGAGAAAACACTTGGACGTGTACACCAGCAAATACCATCAATTGAGCTTGTGTTAATCAGAAAAGACAAAAACGATATCATTGCAGATTAAAGTGAAGAGCGACTGGTTTTAGACTATATGGTTGTATAAATTTAAATTACGTTATAGAACATCATATCGTACCATAAATGGAGAATCCCATGATTTTCTCAGTCGAATTATTTGAAGATTCAGGAGTTTATCCAGTAATGTATGTGAATGTCACCTAAAGGCGTTTTTTTTTCCTCCTGATGAAACAGCGGCCGAGCGGTAAAGTTGCTGAACTCTGGTAGTTCGGTCCGAGGTTCAAATCCCGCAAACGGGCTGGCTGCATGGAACGTTTTCGTGGTTTACCCCATGTGTAACGTGTATGCGAGCCAGTTTTAGAATCGTAATATGTAAAAAAATTGGTATGTTATTTCAGAAAAAGTCCGATTTTGTGTCAAAATACCTATGTTAGAATAGTGCTATATATAAATCTAATATATACCCTAAGTCGCGCTTTCGAGACATGAAGAACGCAGTTTGAATTTTGTCAATCGGCCCAGTAGATCGGGAGATATAGGACTGCCCCATTTTTTTTTTTTTTGAGCAGTGTACTTTTGAGGAATATTAAGTTTTTGTATGTCTATAATCAATAATCAATTTGATGAATCTAGAGACATGGTTGATATTTCTCAAATTTACACTTTTATAAAAATAATTTTTAAGGATATAAGTGTAAACGAAGACTTATTAACAATATTACCTCTAGAGAAGAAAACACGAGGTGAAGATGTTTCCTGCACCTTAAAAAAATACAGAGAGGAGAAAAAATTCCAACTTATAAAGTTGTATCGATGACAACTGATGAGGCCCTGTGACTGCCCGGCACAGCCAATGGATTTTTCGCTATGTGTATCAGAGACGATGATTACCGTATTTCCTTTTTTATCATTGCATTATTCACTAACAGGCCTTCTGTTGTAAAATTCTAAATATGCATCATGTACTGGGAATCTGCATGAAAACTGTGAACTCAATTTGAGGAAGCAGTCTTCAGACTAGAATGTTTCAGGCCCAACTAGAACAAAACGAATCTGATAATGGAGGAATAGTTATACAATGCAGATGTTCACTGCTTAAGTTGGAGCATATTTTTACAAAGATTCAGGGACCTACTACAAGAGGGAAAAGATTTTTTGGAGTCAAATGATAAAGCATATGTTGAACTTGGTGATAATGTTTGGTTGATGGATTTAGCTTTAGCTGTTGATATAACAAGCCACCTTAAAATTAATTTGCAATTGCAAGGGAAAAAAATCAAACAATAGTACAATTGATTGGACTTGTTAGTACTTTCAAAAAAAAGTTAAAGCTAACATCTTCCCAATTGATGAAGAATGAACTAAAAAATTTCAAAAATATTTCCAATGAGTTTTTTAAAGACGAAGGTACATTAATTAAAGAGAAATTACGATAAAATAATAAAACTTCACTCCTAAGTTGAGATATGTTTTCAAGAACTTACTAGACTAGGACTAATTGTTACATTCATGTGTTACTAATTTGGCAATGTTGATGTGGAAGAAATAACTGAAAATATAAATTATATATTCTCTTTATCTCTTGAGGAAAATGAAGCTTTCTTCTTTAAAAGACATACTTTTAAAAGCATGCAGTTCAAAAACCTAAGAATAATTTTTGGAATCTAATGGAGGAAGTAAAGTATCCTAATTTTAAAAAGTGGCATTTCATTTAACATCATTCTCTGGCTCTACCTATCTGTGTAAATCTGCATTTTCAACAATAATTATATTGTTCCTGTCTCACAGACGATCACTTAGAATCCAGTTAGTAATTATATACTGAGATATCCAAGTTTGGCGGACAGTGTGCAGACTAAGTCTTTTACTAACTATAACTACATGAGCTAACTTTAGATGAAAATGATTTATTTTTTTAATGTACTTTGAAAATAAATGTATCATTTGAAATTATTATATTTGTGGGGATTAATATTACCTCTGTAGTCTGTATCTTGCGTTTTGTTTTAAAAGAGTAAGTTCTTTTAGGTAGGGTTAGATAGGTAACTGCATATTCCATATTTAGTATTAAGTTGTAATAAATATTGTAGACCTTTTTTTTCTTCAGCTCAAGACACCTATGCCACTGGGAAGAATGCAACACCTTTAAAAAATTAGAAGTAGCCCATACCCTGGAAAAGTCTGCCCATTCCTGCACTAAACAAATCAAGAAGTTGCATTTCCCTTTCTCACTTCAGTTGGAAAAAATAATAGATCTTCTCTGGACTGTTAATTTTATCCTTCCTCCGCATAGTTTAATACGTCATAAAGCTCGATTTGGGACTTATGATGCAACAGATGATTGATCTCATTCATAAACTGTTTATGCTAGTGTTTATTTCTTATTTTTTCACAGCATACAATAAATAGTATAAAAATTGGAAAAGAGGAAATTTTTGGGCATGGAAAAAAGATTTAAATTTGCCTTGCTTTTAAAAGTGCATAAGTATTAAAGTTGCCAGTTAGTAATATCAGAGATCTCCTGTCTTATTAGAGTAAGCTACAACTCCGGCACAACTGTTTCATGTGGAGTAATTCAGTGCTTAAATTTGTTTAGAACTTGAAACTATATTGTTAAAAAAAGTAAACAGTACTTAGAACTGTTCAAAGCAAACCAAACTACATGATTACATATAACCATATTCTACATCATATAACAACATACTTTAATTCCAGAAGCCATAACACAAAATTTTAACTGTAGACTGCAACACACTTCTCTAAATATTACAAGAGTTAAAGAAATCTTTATTTCATTTACACATCAAATTTAACACTCTTTTACATGTACCTGCTTCAGAAACTTTCAGCAAATGGGTATGAATGAAATTACTGAAGGCTTTTCTTATATATGTGGCATGTTCTGATTAATGTCATTTCCTTCTAAATTGTTTGGCATATGAAACAGTTGCTATTTTCCACATAATCAAATGAAAGGCTTCCGAAATCTTCTGCATCAATGGCATTTTTAGTGCACTTGTAATGGACAGTATAGCGCTATTTTATAGGAATTAGCACTACTTTCACCATCCTTAGAAATAATCACTCATTACTTAGAACAAATATATAATCAGAATGTCAATATTTTTTAAAATCATTTACCTTCTAATGCTAATGGCTAAAAAGTAGTTTATAAAATAATACAAACCTACTCATTGTAATAAACAGGGTGCTCACACATTTAACACACATTTAACTGCTGAACGGCTGTGGATATAATCATAAAGGTGGTGTCTAGGTATAGTAAAGTCGATATGCGCTACTAGATAAGATGGCTTTCAGCACCCCCTGGTGGAAAGCAGCAGAGTTAGCATGCCTACCTCATAAACAATATGAAATAGCAAGAAAAAGTGAATTACACAGTTGCAGAGTACTGTCGATTTAGTACAAAAAGACACAAACATGAAACTTGTGGACATGAATGTTAAGAATAGGAAGTTATAAACGCACATTTGTTTGTTCGCGATTTCCAAAACTGTGACATCACAAAATGATCTTAAAAAGACACAAAAACAACATAGTTATCACAAGCTATTTTTATTTTCGATGTTTTACACTCTCTAGGAGATATCTCTTTCACAGCTGCTTCAGGTGAACAGGTGTGACCTTTCATAATTATTTGCATACTGCACAAATTCGCACACCAAGCTCAAGTTGCATTGAGTTGATGAGCTGTGCAACACAATTATGCACAATCTGTATGTTGTCTATGCTTGTAAAGACAATCTGTACAAGGATGCACCTCGTGAGGTTTGAACCACAGTTCTCTTGAATGTGAATTACAAGCAACATCACTGTACCACGATATGGGCATGTTTTTCATCCAAAAAAAAATCTTTCCTCCTTTTGTTCAAGTTTCGTGACATCACAGTTTTGGAAATCGCGAAGAAACAAATGTGCATTTTAAGCCTTCTGGGTTTACTAATCATATCCACAAGGTGCCTATTCGTACTAAATCAACAATGCTCTACAACTTTGCATTTCACTTTTTCTTCCTATCTCGTATTGTTTTCGAGATAGAGGGGCTATATGCTATCTCATCAAATACCTATTTTACTATACCAAGACACCAATTTTATGAATATAGCTGCAACCGTTCAGCAGTTAAATAAATGGGTGGTACCGAACTTTAGTTGCCATTAGAGCGATGGCATTACCAGCATATAAATGGCACAAATGTGACACCGATGTTCAAAGTGTTAATAGATAGGAAATGATAATTAATTTGCATTTTGCTGGTTAAAATAGCATGCAAATATTCTTTTGTGTAACTAGATAACTAAGTACATACAAGCTCACATTACAATTGAGACTGTTCCCGTTTAACTCATTAACCCTCAGATGGTGCGAGGTTTTGAATCTGTCATTAAGATCTGTACTTAAAGAGCATTTATTAGCTAAATGTGTATAATTACTTATTTTAGTCTATATTTCCATAAACTTACATTCATCAAGATGACATTTACAATATTAAAAGAAGTAAGCAAAATATTTTAAATTATAAGCTAATATATACTAAGTCCCAAAAAATCTCATGACTGGGAAAGCTGGTCTTGCAGCTCAGAGGATCAACATGAAAAAAACTTTAATATCATGTCTTAAAAATAAAAACACAAATAACTAGCATAGCTTAGAAATTACAGCTTCTAAAACTGAATATATTTTCTTACCCAGGTTTTAAAGGAATCTGAGGTACTTTTAAAACAGAATTTGTGCATGTTTCATCATCATCAGTGCAATTCAAGGTGCGACTGGATTGCTGAATTTTTCCAGAAGAGCATAACACTGACTGATTAGAAAGCTGTCTCATTGAACTAATGCTCAAATCTAAAGGCTGATCCAATGGTGGTAGTGGCGGTGAGCTTGATACACCATGAGAGGATAAGGCAGCAATACGCCAAGGCGACAATGCTGAGGCGCAAGAGGTAAAGGAACCTAAAATTATGTATATGTATATTATATATATATATATATATGCATGTGCGGGCGTGTGTTTATATTATTCAAAACATGAAATAGTGCAAGTTCAATAGCATAATAATAATAATCTAAGTTTAAATAAGTAACAATAAAAGTTTAAATAAAAAAAAAATATTGAACCTCTACTTTAGTAGTCATTTGATCAATTCTGCAGCTTTTCAAAGGATATATGATGCCTTATGCTATTTTAGGATGTAAGAAAACAAGATAAATAAATTTGTTAAAGCGCTTTTTCCCACTTCAAATATTTACAAGATTACAAATAGTTATGTGGGCTGTGATTACCTCGAAAATAATTCTCTTCCACAATACATGTACATCTTCCATTTCTACACAAACCAAATTATAACACTAAGTACCCGCAAATTACAAATGGTGATGTCCTGCATTCTACAAGATGTTCAAGAAACACAGATTAAGACTCATATGTATCCTACACAAATACATCCAATTTTTACAAGTAAGTTGAAGGATTGTATGGACACTTCCCAAAATGCAATATGAAATCTCCTACATAATACACTAGAACTTGAAAGAAATTACAATTAAAAAATAAATATAAGGGTTGCTCAAATGAAAAATGGACACGCGCGATAACGTCAGAATGAATGCATCGATAGCAGCGCCACTGCACAATTATATAAAAGGTGTTATGATGTATGCATCTCAGACGGCGTTTAACTGTGAAACATGTTTGTAGGACATTAAAATTGTGCTAAAGGAAAGTCGTGCTGTCCATGGATGTGTCCATGGACGGTTTCTGGTTGCAAAAGATGAGCGGAATGCGGACATCTATCGAAGAATGGTGACAGTGTATGGCAACCACTGTTTAGGTCGTATGGCTGTAAACAAATGGTGTAAAAGTTTCCTTGAAGGGTGGCAAACTATATCAGTTCTGCCGAGACTGGGCCAAGCAAACAAAGTAATTACCAATGATTCCATTGCCTCCATTAATGAAATGATCCAAGCAAAACGACAGGTTACGACCCATGAAATCAATCACGAACTCAGCCTGAGTAAAGGAACAGTTAACATCATTATCCACAAACACCTGGGTTACAGCAAAATGTGTTCGGCATAGGTACCAAAACACCTGACCCTTGATCATCAGAAACGACGAATGGGCTTCTATCTCCAGCACTTGATCTGTTATGAGGAGAATCCTGCATTTCTGGATCGTATCGTTGCAGGCGACGAGACCTGGTGCCACCACTATACACAGCTCATCTCCTCCACCACGGAAATCGAAAGCAACGATAACTGCTCAGAAAGTTATGCTTTCATTTTTCTTCGATTGTCATGGACCACTTTTAATCGAGTTCCTGCACCAAGGGAGAACTATCAATTCTGCACAATATTGCAGTACTCTGACGAAACTGCGACAAGCAATAAAAAATAAATGGCCAGGCCTTCTCACACAAGGAGTGATCCTTCTGCATGACAATGCCCACCCACACGTCTTCCAAGAAACCCAGAGGACCTTAAACACATTCTGTTAGGAGGTTTTGGAGCACCCCCTGCACAGTCCGGACATGTCACTCTGTGACTTTCACATCTTTGGGTCACTTATGAGAGCCTTAAAGGGGAAACATTTCCATTCGGATGATGGAGTGAAGGAAGCCGTGCAGGACTCCCTTAGGAATCAGCGCCAATCTTTCTACAGCAGAGGCATCAAGCTGCTGCCGCAATGCTGGGACCTGTGTTTCAACGCCCATGGCAATTTCTTTTGATTTACAATAAAAGTATTATTTTTCTTCAACTTGTCCACTTTTCATTTGAGCAAGCCTTATAATAATAATAGTCTCCTGAAAAAAAATTTTAAAAGCAAACAAATAACTTTCTTTTATATAAAATTAATATCTACTGCTGAATCCTCATAAGAGTTATTACTAGTGAATAGAATTAAAACTCAAAACAAATTTCTACTTTAAAAAACTAAGGCATTTGGTTCCTATTTTTTAAATGAAAAATATATCTAGAATTTTTTAAATGAAAAAATATATCTAGAATTTTTTAAATGAAAAATTATATCTAGAATATCTAAATATAGATATTCTAGTAAAAAGTTTTTCACTGTCAAAGACAAACTATAGCATTCTAGAATTGCGGGAACGAGCAAAACAGTGCTGCATCACCATTTTCATATTTTTAACTGTCAATTTATATTAGTGGTTATTATATTTTTTAACATTGCATGCTACTAAAAAGCAGAATCATTTACTATTCTTTGCAATTTATACTGTTTTCATATAAACACAATATATACAGTAATTAAAAAAATATTTGTAAAAAGCATTAAAGGCATGTAGATAAGCCCAAAGTAAGCTGATTTGGCACTTTATGTATGCGATAATGGCGCACTGAGAAGTTAAAAGGGTTCTGTTGAGTGGTAGGTAAATGCATTCTACTGGCATAAATTGTCATTTCTGGCGAATAGTATGCATCATTTCACAAAATATCACTTGCTGACATATGCTGATAATTTCAATGTGCCGTTTTCACACAGTGTATTGACAAATCTGCCTATACTGGTCCTGTCAATTTGCTTTTATATTTTTGCTAGACATATCTTATTTACCCTGTATAATATTCAAACTGATGCATATAATTTTACTGTTTCATTGAAACTATTTCCCAGTTGTTTCCGAAAACTTGCAAGCCACACTTTGAAGTGAAATCAATTGATTTTTTTTCTTTTTGTTTCTTTCTTTTTTTTAATATTTTACTCAGAGATTGCTTACTTCACACTGATATATGTTTACATAAAAGCAAATTATTGTTACACTTGATTTGCATTTGTTGTCTGCAGTCACTTATAATTTTCAAACAGGTACTAATATTTAGTTCAGGATTGATCACTATTTTCATCACTTCTTCACCTGAGCTTTATATTCAATTCATAATCAGTAAAGTTACTGATGCAAAAGAAACATACATGATTTGTACAGTGCAAATCTGCAATAAGAAAGCACCATCCCCCGATAATATCTTCAAAACTTTACTAATTTGCAGCTTTATTTTCAGAAAACAAATCCCTTCCTTTTGAATCTTATTGTTAACCCGTACTCATAAAAAGAACATTTATTTTTTTGACTAAGCTGCTGAAAAAATATGAACACTGACTGAAAATAAGTATACTGTGAATCGTAATAAATAAATAGAAAAGAAATAACCTCGCACATAAATAAGCATCTGGAAATAAAGATCTTTAATGCATTTTTATTACACTATTATACACAAAAAAAAAAGGGGAGAAGAAGCACCTAGAAAAGCAAATCTAACCAGCATTAAAATTTAGCATGGAAATTTCTTTTACATAAAATTACACAGAAATCTAAATGATTAACATTTTCGAGATGGTGTGTCTTTGTTTATGATGTTCCGTCGTGGCGGATGGGAACCGTCCCTTTTCCTTTACTTTACATGAAAATAATATAAAAAAGTGTTTAGTTCAAGAAATAATTTTTGGAAGCGCTATTCAAATTATTCCAATGTTCCGACTGACAAAATACATTAATTAACTTTGATTAAAAAATACAAGAATATTTATGAAATCTTTCATGGAAAGTGGAAGGCAGGCACTCAGTGAGTTCACTCTTGGCAAAATGTCCATATTATTAGCACATCACTAGAAATACTAACTATTTACACAATGAAGCATCACTATCATCCATGTCACTAACTGGCTCATTTACCATGTGAGTATACCCTTCCTCTGATAAATAATGCTTCCCCACCATAATAAACTGAAGTCAAGGCTTTCCAAAGTAAAAAATGGAAGTATGTGAAATAAAGCACAATGAAGCATCACTATCATCCATGTCACTAATTGGCTCATTTACCATGTGAGTATACCCTTCCTCTGATAAATAATGCTTTGCCACCATAATAAACTGAAGTCAAGGCTTTCCAAAATAAAAAAATGGAAGTATGTGAAATACAAACAATAAATGCAATGCAAAGTGAAACAGAATCCCATACAGTAACCCTAAAAGACCCTACACAGTAGTGCAAAAAAGAATAAAAAAAAGGATTTGAAGGGATACCAGAAACATGAATGTTTATATTACAGGGCCAAGCTCCATTCATTTACTTATGTTAACAACTAACACCAAAGTTAAGCAGAATGTGATAAAAACTGAAGGTCAGGATCCTAAAATTATGTTTGGTTCAAAACTAACACCATCTAGTGGTCTTTAGAGACATCCTGTAAAACAGCTAATGGTAAAAGTATATTTACGGGTACCCATTCATGAAAACTGGCAATTTTTGGCAGTACATGGATACCGAGTTTATGCAATTCTTTGACTCGTTATTTTGGCTTGTGTAGTGACACAAACTGCCAATACACAAAGCCAAAATAACAAGACAAAGAATTGCACAAACTGGGTATCTATGTACACATCGACCTATTTTCAGTTAAAAAAAAGTCCCAGAATTGCACCCTTTGTCCATGTTACACATCAAACTATATTCACTTAAAAAGTCAAAGGAGCAGCCAACAAAAAAATATATATAATCACAATAAACTACATTTTAAACCAAACAATGAAATACCATAAAAAAGGGAAATTCATCTTCATTCACAAAGGAAATATCCACTTACCTTATTTACGAATTAACACGTCTTCAGTCAAACAAAGTTCTTTAACAGCATCCAAAAACTTCCTACAATTATCTGAACTAGAATCTGTATACTGGCATCGCCACATAAATTCACAAAATAAGAGTAAAAATATCCTCCGTAGCGCTGTAACGTCCGACCATACACATTTCCTTCCTACAAGCAGGACACTTAATAGTGGCTGCTTAGTAAACCTTCATTTACATGCCAGTCATGTAATGCTCTTTTTCTTTCCAAATTGTACAGAAACTTCATATTAATCTTACCATATACAGCCATTTTACCGTCTAAACCAGAAAACAAGCGATGTACTTCCTAACCAATACACACA